CTAGGCCACTCCAGAATCTTGATATGCTTCTTACGGAGCCACTCCTTGGATATTTTGGCTGTGTGCTTCAGGTCGTTGTCATGTTAGAAGACCCAGCCACGACCCATCTTCAATGCTCTGACTGAGGGAAGGAGGTTGTTGCTCAAAATCTCACAATAAATGGCCCCATTCATCCTCTCCTTAATACAGTGCAGTCGTCCTGTCCCCTTCGCAGAAAAGCACCCCCAAAGCATGATGTTACCACCCCCATGCTTCACAGTAGGGATGGTGTTCTTGGGATGCAACTCATCCTTCTTTTTCCTCCAAACACAACGAGTGAAGTTTAGACCAAAAAGTTCTACTTTGGTCTCATCTGACCACATGATTTTCTCCCAGGCCTCCTCTGGATCATCCAGATGGTCATTGGCAAACTTCAGACGGGCCTGGACATGTGATGACTTGAGCAGGGGAACCTTCCGTGCAATGCATGATTTGAAACCATGACGGCGTAGTGTTCTACCGACAGTGACCTTTGAAACTGTGGTCCCAGCTCTCTTCATGCCATTGACCAGCTCCTCCCTTGTAGTTCTGGGCTGATTCCTCACCTTTCTTATCATCAGTGATACGTCGTCTTTAGCCTCTTCCATTTTCTAACAATTGCTCCAACAGTTGATCTATTTTCACCAATCTGCTTGGCAATTGCCCCGTAGCCCTTTCCAGCCTTGTGGAGGTCCACAATTTTGTTTCTGGTGTCTTTTGACAGCTCTTTGGTCTTGCCCATGGTAGTAGTTGGCGTCTGACTGACTGTGAGGTGGACAGGTGTCTTTAAAGAGCTCAGACAGGTGCTACTAAATTAGATTAATGAGTGGAGTAGAGGTGGACTTTTTAAAGGCATAGTAACAGGTCTTTGAGAGCCAGAATTCTTGCTGTTTCTTAGGTGTTCAAATACTTATGTTCAGCAGTGCAAGACAAATAAATTCTTTAAAAATCATACAATGTGATTTCCTGACATTTTTTTTTAATTCTGTCTCTCAGAGTGGGAATGCACCTACAATGTGAATTTCAGACCCCTCCATGATTTATAAGTTAGGGAACTTGCAAAATCACAGGGTGTTCAAATATTTCTGTTCCTCACTGTATAGCACCTTGCTGGCCCCTCTCACTAGCTATGATCTGCAAGCATTGCATAAAGAAGCTCAGAGACCCATTGACAATGAAAATGCATCTCTATTATTGTGCTTCTCTATGCAATGCATATCATGGCATTGGAGAGAAGGTGTGTGTCGAAAGTCTACTGGAGCAAGGAATAAGGTAAGTATTATTCCTCTACCTCTAGACTTACTGAGCATTTATCCATCGCAATGCATGGAGACCTCATTGCAAAATTATTATTTTGTTCATTCTGCCTCCATATTGCCTGGATTACCTGCCCCATTGTGCCACCATTGCAGGCATTGCAGGGTGTTTGCATCATGTCCCCATTCTGTTGATTGAGTCACATTTGGTGGGCAGTAGTTGACTGTTGGGATACTTTTTGTCATACTGTTATGCAAACCATGGCATGTATCACTGGCAACATGTATACACCCCTATTCCCTGCCTTTGGTTAGGAGAGAGTGGTTAAAATGCGGTACAAGCATGCAGTTTTTTTTAGCCCCCCTCAACCGCAAATGTGAATGAAGCCCTAGATGTCTGATGAACAGAAACCAATCCAGGCGTTTTCTGTTGCACGGAGGAATCTTTGGACTGATAAAAGCATATGTTGGGATATAAACCTCTCTGGCGTTTTATGATTACTGTTCTCTCTAATGAGCATTTTATAGAGGCTGAACAAACAACCTGGACAAAATGTTCTGTGATTTGTCTAACGAGCCGAAAGCTAATACCGTCTGTGCTTAACAACTTGTAGAATTCATATTCTAAAAAATGGAAAATAATACTTGAACAACCGATATTTCGGGACAGTGGAAGAGTTTGTTGTTGATAGACCCATTTGGGCATATAGATCCTGAATGGCCTAACTAAATACCATAGGGCCCTAGGGGGGGAACCATGAAAAGCCATTATGGAGCTTCTTCGTGGGTCATACAGAAATTGCCTTGTTCTGCTCTTCAACTGGCTGAATGAGTTCTCTTTTTTCAGGCTTTTCCCCTCTTTTGAACCTGGTGATCCTGCAAATAACACATCTCCGGTCCCTAATGCAGGTCAAAGACGGGTCGTTTATCGGCCGAATTTTTGTCCGCACGACAAATCGCCCGATATTCATGCCATTAGTGAGGCCAGCCCGTCGGCTGTTTTTAGCGGATCTTCTCATTTATTTTTATCGGTCATGCTGGAAAATCCACAAAAAACTGACGTTTTTCATGGACATTGATGGCCGAAAAACGGCCGGTCTATGACCTGCCTAAGTGGCTGCTCTCAATCCTCCACCGTATCTATGGAGGAGGACCTCCTTCTCTCTAGTTCCCTGGTCTCCTCCTCCCATGCTCGCCCTCCGGGACTTCTCCAGGGTGTCACCCATCCTCTGGAACTCCCTGCCCCAACCCATCAGATTATCACCTACTCTCCTCACCTTTAGGCGCACCCTGAAAACCCATCTCTTCAGGGAAGCCTACCCCACCCCCTGCTAACTTGCCGACCTCCTCCACTCTTCCTACCACTCCATCCCCCACAGCTATCTCCTCCTGTGCCACTATCCCCTCCCTCCTAGATTGTAAGCTCGAAAGAGCAGGGCCCTCGATCCCCTCATGTTTTGCATTGTATTGGTATTGTCCTGTCACATGTTCTGTCCCCCTTTGTAATGTACAGCGCTGAGCGAACTATTGGTGCTTTATAAATACTGTATAATAATAATAATAATATTGCAGCTTACCAATCATTAACTGTGGTGGCTGCATTCGTTTTCTTTTTTAGCTTTTTTTCCCCTCTGTTCTCACCTGATGGTCACTTACACACCTCCTGTATTAGAATGTCCCCACTCTGGATGAAGGAGCACATCAGACAGCAGCACTGTCAGTCTGGGGGGGAGGAGTTGTGGTAAATATACTAGCAGATATAAATACACTAACAAATTGAAGCCAAACTCCAGCTCACACTTTTAACGCAGTTACAGCAAATCATTATTTTTTAATTTGGCATAATTAAATTAAAGCAGATCATTGTACGCACCCCTGTCACTGTTAATGGTTCTCTTAACTCCCTAACTGCTATATCTGCAGGACAGCTTGTTCTGTTGAAATACAACTGATTTACTGGCTAGAACAGAAGGTAAAGGAAAAAAAGCTTAAAAAAGAAAACTAGTGCAGCCATCACAGCTAAGAACTGGTAAGCTGCAATACAATAAATGTTAGCCTTTGGGTTTAATACCACTTTAAACTCGTGTATGGTTTAAATATTACTATTGAACCTTCTGGTATAGGCTACATTTTTACCTATATATTTCTGATTGGTGGTCTGCTCCCAAAAACAGGTGGCAGCTCATGAAATTGGCCATGTGCTCGGACTATCTCACATCCACAGGACCGGATCAATAATGCAGCCCAATTACATTCCGCAGGAATCTGGCTTTGAACTGGACTGGTCTGATAGGAAAGCAGTACAGAGTCTATACGGTAAGAGCCACTGATATTCTATCACACGATACAGTATCTGCTACCCCCTATGCCTAGAAAACACCTAGTACTTCCAGGTATGGACGAGTGTGTGACTCACTCCCCATTATGTCATGTGACAGCACTGGTGCTTAGTGATTGGCCCAGCTCTGTTGATCTTTGGATCGCCCTTCAGAAGTCATTTGACAGGCAGTGGGGAGGTGATATGATACTCCTCTCTATGCCTGTTTTCACCCTTAAAACCCACACCACCATTGCAGTGAGGCTACATTCAGGTGAATGGGTTGCTTGTGAAGGGCAGTATTGCTTGCTTGCAAAGTATCACAGCCACAAACTGTGGTTGTAAATATCAGACATGAAATATGAACAAAGCATATCCCTCTATAGTGTGTACTTGTCTCAATCCAGAGCACTAAGTGTTATTTCTGTCTGCTTCCGCACTCCTTTGCTATCATAATGAGTCACTTCTGACACCAAAAGAAAAATGGTGACAGGGGAGGGACCTTCAGCAGATTGAGTGTCTCAGCTCTGTCCCTGTGAGCTGTGTGGAGTGGAGTGTGTCTCTTCCCTCCAATCAGCTCTCAAAACTCTCCTCACTGAGCGCTGCAGTGTGTAATTTTAGCTCTCCGCCCCTTTTTTTGACAGCTGAGACAAGCTTTATAAATTCTGGACTTTGAACAGATGTAGAGAAGAGGAGACTGCAGATAGACAAGAGGATTTGTTTAACCATTTGATGCCTGGCCTATGGCCAAATGGCATCCGCAAAAATGTATTACCTTTCCGGGAGGCCGCCATATGGCGTCCTCCCGCACATGCGCAGTTTGCGCGCTTGCAGAGCCGCGCAGCGGCGCGATCTGTCACCGGCCGTGTACCTCGGACACGGCCGATGACAGATCTGAGTACCGGCCCCCGTTGCCAGTACCATGTAACCTGCTGTGACCAATCACAGCAGGTCACATGACAGTTGTATACAATGGATGGCTTCATTCATGCCATCCATTGTATACTAGTGTCTAGCTGTGAATGGTCACAGCTAATGACATGCACATGTCATGTGATTAGCTGTGGCCAAATCACAGCTAAGCACAAAAAAAAAACCCCTGAATGAATTGATGTCATTCAGGTAAATGCTTGCTTATAGCAAAGTAATTCTTTGATATAAGCAAATTATGTAAAAAAAAAAAAAAAAAATACTGATCACTTCCCCAAAGTAGTACAATGTTACTATGGCAACATTATACTACTTTGGACATAGTGAAATATGAAAAAAAAAATCTTAAAAAAAAGAAAAAAAAATTAATAAAAAATTTAAATAAAAAAAAATATATATATATTTTTTTTTCACACTGTCACCAGTCAGTGTCCCTGATCACCGCCATGCCAATTGTATGATGACGCTGTACTGCACTGGTGACAGTATGTAAAAAAAAAAATAGTGAAAATTTTTTTTTTCATTTTCCGAAAAATTATGACAAAAAAAATACAACTTCAAAAAACTCGCCATTCCTCTTATGAAGTACGTCGGACTGTCTACTCTGCAAAAAGGGGTCATTTGGGGATATCTGTCCTGTTCTGACATTCTTGGACCTCAAGAAATTAGATTGGCTGTCAGTACTTCAGGATTGATCAATATTCAGATCTGTACCATAGTTTGTGAACTCTATAACTTTCCTACAAACTAAAAAATACATCCTAATTTGGGTTATTTTCACCAAAGACATGTAGCAGAATACATCTTGGCCTAAATTTATGAAGAACAATTATTTATTTGCAAACTTTTATAACAGAAACAAAAAAAAACGTGTTTTTTTTCCAAAATTTTCGTTAATTTAGCAAAAAATAAAAACCCTGGCGATGATTAAATACCACTAAAAGAAAGCTCTAGTTGTGTGAAAAAAATTATAAAATTTTAGTTTGGGTACAGTGTTGTATGACCGCGCAATTGTCATTCACAGTGTGAGAGCGCTGAAACCTGAAAACTGGCCTGGGCAGGAAGGGGTAAAAGTGCCCGGTATGGCAATGGTTAAGCTTTGCGTATCATCTGAGAGCCAGTCATTGTACTGGGTATATGTAAGGGTATACAACCACTTTAAGAGGGAGCAGTTGGGGAGGGTGGTAAAATGTGGCTCAGCAGTGTCTTTCTATGCCCCCCCCCCCCAACTACAAGTGTAAACGTCTAAGGCAGTCTGAAGGTGGACTTTGCCTTTATAAATCCTGAGTTTGGGATTTCCGTTGTGACATTCTTTGCCTCCCATTCCACTCCACATTAGCAGAACAGCAGCTTTGTATGGCTTACTTAGTGCTGAATTGGACCCCGACAACCTCACACGGCTGTCATTTTTCACAGGTGCCCAAACCGATTAGCGTAGCAGACAGAGTGTAAGGGGAGGACACAAGTTTCTGGAGTCTGACAAATTCAGGAGCCGAAAAGTCACCTTATGCACAATAAATTGCATTTCCCCTAATGTGCTGCGAACATACAGCAGAACCTCTCTGTTTGAATAGAAATTAGATAGAGATTGCAGATGATTTGTGATGCATGTCAGGGCTCACTTCATATCTACAACCCGCTGTAATTATACCCCGAGCTCTGCGCTCTCATAAGATTCCCTTCCAGTGAATGAAGAATTGAGATACAATGGTAACGAGGTGAACCATTATTTTCTGGAGTGCATCTTGCCAAGCTGTCCAGCAAAGGCTGTGTAAGTCATTTCTGAGGTTCGTGGTCGGTTTTAGCGCATTGTTCACTGCGGATGTAGTTGGCCTATCACCATTCAGTGTGAAACTGACCACACGTGTTCCAGCTATGCAGTGCAAAGGCCTACTTGAAGGGATTGCATTGGTTAAGCATTGTTAGTAACAGTGGTGTATTTAGGTTTTGTGCTGCCCTAGGCAACACAAAAATCGTCTGCCCCCATGGACACCGACCAACACCCCTGCCCCCCTCCTGGGAGAGCCTTCCACTACCCCCCTTGGTGATAGAGAGACACTCATCTTCACAGCCCCGGAGCGAGAGTCAGGCTCTACATACACCATCAGCAGCCCGCAGCCTCTCTCAGATCCCTCATGGCGCGCGTGTCCCTTCTTTCATCCCTTCTTCTAGGGGAGAGTTGCTGCCCCCTGAAAAATGCCGCCCTAGGCAAGTGCCTTGTGGTAAATACACCCCCGGTTAGTAAATCCAAATAAAATTGCACAGCGATTGAACAATTAGATTGTAAGGCCAGCCATTAACCTTAGAGACTGGACAGATATGCTGGCACAATTTAGCATTGCTCCTACAGTGATCGGATTATCATCGTCTTCTTGGTCCAATGCTGGACCACTGTCCTGCTGCATAGTGACCACGTGGGGTGCTCCCTCAGGCACAGATGCCGTTCATAGAAAGCCTTGTACTGTTCTCAATAAATGCAGTGTTCTCTGGCTGGACAAGGTAGGGATTGTGATGTCACCGCCCTGCCACTCCTTTTCTCTGTAACATAGGGGGTGGTGTTTTGTAGTTCACAAAAGTGAACTGGGCAGGGCTAATCGCACTAATTGAGGTTTGAAATGCAGCAGCGATCATATGCTGGCCGATATTAATATTGGATGATTTTGAATTTAATCCCTCCTACATCGGCGGTTCAGGCCCTTTTTTTAGTCCTTTCTGTTGGTTGAAATGCAGCAGACAGCACAGGAAGTTACAAGCTTACTGTTTTTCTGGCAGGATCAACAGCTGTTTTTTTTGGCACTTAAAAAACAAATAAGGCTAAACACTTTCAATGGAATGTTTAATGGACCAAAAGGGTGCAAATAAGAGAATTTCATTGTTAGGGTTTCCATACACTCACAGAATGTGTTTGGAGGATGGTTTGTGGAAGGGAGTTCCAGATAAGAAGAGAAGCTTGTGAGAAGTCTGAAGAACGATTGTAGGGGTCTCCAAATGTTTCAGTTTAAGGACCATGTTTCTCTATTCGTAGGGCGAAACAAATTCCTTACATCAGGGTCCTCATCAGAGTCCCAATCAGAATCCCCCTTAAATCACAATCCCTATCAGAGTTCCCCTTACCCACTTTTATATGGGTCCCCATTAGAATTCTCCCTTACATCAAGATCCCCATCAAAATCCCTATTAGAGTCCTCTTTATATCAGAGTTAACCACTTTCATTTGGGTCCTCATCATGGCCCCGTACACCAGAATTCCTTTTAGAGTCCCCCTTACATCAGAGTTACCCACTTTCATTTGGGTCCTCATCATGGCCCCTTACACCAGAATTCCTACTAGAGTCCCCCTTACATCAGAGTTACCCACTTTCATTTGGGTCCTCATCATGGCCCCTTACACCAGAATTCCCATTAGAGTCCCCTTTACATCAGAGTTACCCACTTTCATTTGGGTCCTCATCATGGCCCCTTATATCAGAATTCCTATTACAGTCCCCCTTACATCAGAGTTACCCACTTTCATTTGGGTCCTCATCATGGCCCCTTACATCAGAATTCCTACTAGAGTCCCCCTTACATCAGAGTTACCCACTTTCATTTGGGTCCTCATCATGGCCCCTTACACCAGAATTCCCATTAGAGTCCCCTTTACATCAGAGTTACCCACTTTCATTTGGGTCCTCATCATGGCCCCTTATATCAGAATTCCTATTACAGTCCCCCTTACATCAGAGTTACCCACTTTCATTTGGGTCCTCATCATGGCCCCTTACATCAGAATTCCTACCAGAGTCCCCCTTACATCAGAGTTACCCACTTTCACTAGGGTCCCCATCAGAGTCCTCCCCCATATCACAATTTCCAATACATCAGAGTCCTCTCTTACATCAGGGTCCTGCTTACATCAGAGCCCTCCCATACATTGGGGTCCCCATCACAGTCCCCCTTTAGATCAGAAGCAGAGACCATAGGCAGCCTTTGCTGACCTTAAAGCAGAACCTAAGTCAGTATACGTACCTCCTCTCTAACGTCTGATGTCCGATGGTGTCTCTTGCTGGCGCTGGAATTTTCTCCCTGGATGCCAGTCTTCAGGCATTGTCATTAGCTGGTATGGGATGAAATAACTCCCTCACATGCACACTAAGACCATGCCAGTTATGTAAGGTGAGCTGTGCATGCACTGCTCAGTTTACATGCTGTAGAGCACTGAGAACAGGCAGGTTTATTTTATTGCATTGCGCATCTCTTCTGCGATTACCAGCCTGCTGCAAGTTTTTTTTTATATAAATGACTTCAGTTCCGCTTTAATTCCCCATCTATGCACATTTAGGATATGCCACTGACCATATCTTCTGGCTGAATGTGACCTGGGGGCCATAGTTTGGAGGCCCCTGAACCCTTGTCACTCCATTCCCAGTATGTGAACCAGGATCAGAGTGGATGTCTAGTTTGATATGGGAGGATTGTGCTCCGAATGAACTTTTACAGGCTGATTATTCTTATTCACCATGGTGAGAAATATTCTCTTTTTGCATTTTTGCCATTTGTAGAAAATTGTTTTTGATGAAGTTCAAGAATACAAGAAAAAAAAATGTCAAAATGTCCTTGGGAAAAAAAAAAAAGCCCAATTTACCTGCAGGAGGCTTTCTTCTTAGCCCTGCCATAGGTCTGCTCTGGCACAGCGTCTGCCATCCACAGATTTCCCGTATGTAGCTGGCACAGCTCTGAACTTTCCGCCAGTATATTAGGACACCATTGTATCTGGATGTTCTCATGTCGAGGTGTGACATTTTCATTTGTAGCCTCGGGGGATGCAATCTTTCTTGAGCATCGCTTGACACAAAGCGAGATGTGAGCAGAGCTGTCTCTGTCTGTGCGAGTTTAGCCCGTGGGCAGCACACTGGCCCAGACTGGGAGCTGGATGTGTGTCATGTATAGACCTCTGTTCTTCCTCAGTCAGCGGGTGATGTCTCTGTAATGCAGTGCGGTCACGGCGGTGCTGTGCGCGGCCAAGTCATTTCACAAGGGTGCTTACACCTGATGATGGCTTCTAAAAGTCTCCTCGTTCCACATACCAATCTTCTGTTTCATCTCCATTCTGAGCATGCCTACAGCACAATGCTGCTCATTTTAAATGCAAGTCAGTTTCATGTGAAATGGCATAGAGTAACATTTATATAGTAGGCTGTCTATGTACAGGCAGGGGGGCTGTGTGAACGCCATGGATGATTCTAGTGTTAGAGGCTATAATTGCCCCAAGTACAGAAAGCAATGAAACGGTCTCCGCTAAAATGAACAAAATCAAAAACTCCCAGGGGTCTTAGGGCAGTGATTCTCAACCTTCCTAATGCCGCGACCCTTTAATACAGTTCCTCATGTTGTGGTGACCCCCAACCATAAAATTATTTACCCAGTAATTATAATTCATGAAGTGTCGTTTTACCTCCAATACTGCTGCTTTCAACACAGTAGCTGCTTTTAACAGAGTAGCTGCTTTCAACACAGCAGCTGCTTTCAACACAGTAGCTGCTCTTTACACATCGTAAATATGTGTTTTCCCGATG